TTAAATGCAATAAGTCAGTTGCTTCGTGTACAAGTGTTATCACAACAACTACTACCTACAAGTTGACTGAAGCTAATCGTAGAATGGACCAACAAAATAAATCAGGTGACTTATTGCATTTAACATCACTCGAAAGTGGTGAGAAAGCATTTGCTCAGAACATTTTCAAAAAAAGTTCAGAAAGATAGAACAAAGTGAACAAGTCAAAATCTGAATGGAAAGTGATTTGATTTGAAAAAGATTTGCCCTTATATTTAAGACTCGTGCCTTAAACTTCTACAGGGTTATTCATAAATATGAAGCAATATTTGAACCTCAAAAATGACCTATAAAATGATGTTAATTTAAATAATAACTCGTGTCCTATCTCTACTGATAAGAATTTTACAGCCCTCGGAATGTGGGTATGGAAATTTGATTTTTTTGTAGTAACTTTGAAACTATTTGACCAAATATTATAAAATTTGGAACATTTTCCTTGTGACAACATACCCTTAAAATGGACCGTTTCAAAGATATTTTAATTTAAACTGAGGACTGCACAACGCTGAAATCAAAAAGTAGGGATTTTGAATGGATGATCTCCACGGTAACAAATGACCATGGTCACATAAATCCCTACCAGGCATCTGTTAACTTTGACGATAAATTTTTGTGAATTATTTATAAATTAAATGCTACTAGATCGATTTGGATTTACTGTAGATTACGTTTGGAGTCTGAAGTAAACTCTTTTATTAAATATTTTCAATTAATCGCCCAAGAATGGTCCAATGTCAAAGTTGACAGATGCCTGACAGCGATTTGTGGGACCATGGTCATTTGTTGCCGTGGATATCATTTATTCAAAATCCCTATTTTTTGATTTCAGCGTTGTTCACTCCTCAGCTTAAATTAAAATATCTTTGAAACGGTCCATTTTAGGGGTATTAAAGGTTATGCGTTTTTTATTGGAAATTGATTACTCTATCTATTTGGGCAATAAAAAATTGGTGTTAAGAGGGCAGAAAAATGGAAAAACACGGAAAATGTGACCTGCAACTGCTGTAACCGGAAGTTGAGTAGATGTATCCGGTTTTCGTGATTACCAGTTCAAAAGGTATGTTGTCACAAGGAAATGTTCCAAATTTTATAATATTTGGTCAAATAGTTCCAAAGTTATTACAAAAAAATCAAATTTCCATACCCACATTCCAAGGGCTGTAAAATTCTTATCAGTAGAGATAGAACACGAGTTATTATTTAAATTAACATCATTTTATAGGTCATTTTTGAGGTTCAAATATTGCTTCATATTTATGAATAACCCTGTAGATCCTCTTAGCTCAATGGTCATTTTTACAACAAAAAAACTCTTTATTTGCTTTAATTAGTACGCAGGTACTCTTTATTTGTTTTAAGTAAACAAACAGTTTTTGTTTATTGTAATTAGAAAAAAGAAGATGCAATTGACCATTTTTAAGCAAAAGAAGATTCTTAAAACAAATACTTTTATAAAAATGCAATTTTAAGTAAGATTAACATGCATTTCTCCTATATGGAGCAATGTTTGATTAACAAACCATAACTTCAAAAAATCATATCTTGAAAACTACTCGGTATATTATTTTAAAAATTTGGATTCTTACTAATAAAAAGATGCTCTACACGATGGTGACCAAGAAAAAAAAATTACTCGTAGGGTTTTTCTTAGATTATTTCGATTTACTTCGAACTTCTTCGAACACAGATCGAAAAAAAGTTTGCCAATATTTAATTTCAAATTTTATATCATTCTAAAGGGCAAGGCCATCCCTTTAGAATGGTCTTTATTTGAAGGAAATCGGCCTAATAGTTATTGAGTAATGATTTTTTAAAGTTAAAGTATTTTAAATTCATTTAAATTAGAAAAAATTATTTTGTTCAAAGTGTGTGGACTTTTTAATTTTCTTTTAGGGCATTTGATTTGTCTCACTGAGACGAACATTGTCAAGTTGTCACGACAACTTTGTCGCCTTGTGTTATAGACCCATCTTTTTTTCAATTTTTGTATAAAGTATTCAAAAAATGGAGGAAAACCCGCGTCAACTTGCATCAGTTTTCGCTGTGATTAATTTTATTGCATCGTGATGCGACTTTAGCTCCAGTCTGGCATGTTGGCCAGTGCCCAAGACAGTGAGGAACGACTCCCAGCGAGTGTTCTTTTTAAAATTTTTCCGCGTTTGGATTTATGGAGAGTGTGCATTTAGTTCGTTGTCGATTGGATGACAAAAACGCTCGTTTTGTGCCAAAGCTAATTAGTTTTGGATGCAAAAAAGCAGACTGTCTGACTATAAATCGAATCCCACGAATTCATTACGGTTTCAATTCGCTTCTAACTATGATTTACGGATAGATGGGATGGTACATAAATCATGTGGGTTTTATGCTGATTATTACTGAATGCCAATTTGAATCCGACTGGTCTTGTCCTATCTAGTTGTATGTAATGTCATCATCTTCATGAGTGATTTATTGCCATTGGGACAATGACCAAGTTTTGTAATGAACTGGTTCGAGAAACAATGATGTGTTCTATCGGGATTAACACGGACGATAAATCACGAAGCGGGACCAAAACTGGTAGCGAGCAATAATGCAATCTTCTTATTTTACCAAACAAAACGGTCGGTTCAAAGTTTACATCAGAACTGGCATTACTGGACAATTCTTTAATTAAAAATCAATTTAATTAACCAAAACTAATGCTTTTTCAGGAATCTTTTTAATTGTTTTGTATTCTAGTAAATCCCCAAATCGTTTTAACCCCTTAACGGGCTCGTGCACCACACACATCATAACAGTGTCAATAATAGTTTTTATAAATTTATTCAAAAAAATTTATAAGAATAATAAACTTGTAAAATAATATAAAAGAATAATAAAATTAAAAAAAAACAATTGATAAATTTGCCTATTCCAATATGTATACAGAATATTCCAGCTAAACCCCACGTTAGAAGTATTGAAAGTTTTGATAAAATTTGTCTAATAATTTGTATATAGCTATAATCAGTTAGGTTCACTTCTGGTTATATCAGAAGTGGGTATCAACTTTGTTATCTTTTTACATTTTTTTTATTTAAATAACTTTATTTTATTAAAAAGCTACGTTTTTTATTGCGTTTTTGGATTCTTCAAGTTATTCTATAAAAGTTATCATCGATCTTCACTCTAACTAAGTTCAACCGTTTTTGGAATTTCTAGACTTTTTGAAAATTTTTGACTTTGAACTTCCTCTTTAATAATTGATCACTCTGCAATTTTTAACTATTATGGAATTGTATTTTGGCGTTTAAAAAAGAAAGAATCGATTTTTCTTTTGGTGGATTCATAATTAGAAATTGATTAACAAGCTCTTAAAATTTAACGTTACGTTTCGGGAAAGTCAAATACTAATAGGTCAATTTTTCTAAATAAAACGCTCCAAATTTTTCTTCATTAAATGGAGGAGAGTTTAATTTTGCTTCGATTTGTATAACATTCCCTATATCTATGAGCTTAAGCAGACAACAATTTTTTAGCCATCACAACCTAATTTCAACAGGTAATATAAAAAAACTAATTTTGGAATTTTTTTAAATTTGTAATTTGTAACTGGAAAACGGAAAGGGCCCGTGCGGGCCCCTTTGGAGCCTGGGCCCGTATTTCGCGAAACCCACGGAACCCTACCTAGTACGTCACTGGTTTTAACCAATAATTCCTGAGATGTTGGTCGTAAGTGCAGCTTGGTGAAACTTGAAAGTTTTATTACTTTTCCACTTAATGAAAAAAGTGAATTTTTAATAAGTATGTACCTACGACATTTTTTATTTGAAGAGTAAATTAAAGAAAAACCTGTTTTCTATATTCATAGAAATTTCTAAATTACATACAATTTTTTGGTTGTCTCAGTGCTATCCCAAAATTTATGTTCTATTTTTTATCCTTCCACCAAATTTTAGCTACTTTGGGGTTTTGACTTAAAAATTCTTTTCAAAATTGGTTTTAAATTTACTCTATTGACAGATTTTTACGCTTTAATGCTCGAGTTTTTTCAATTACCTACAAAAATAACTACCTACTAATTTTTTCTCTATAATCGCCGTAAAAAAATTACTAACATTTTTTTAAATATGAAACACTTTTATCTCTTAAACCACACTCTACAACAGTTTTGAATCTTATAAAAAATATAAGAACACAAGAAAAAAGTTTGTTTTTTTCAATTATCTCAGTAACCGGTTGAGATAAGTTCACGAAATTTTGTATCCGGAGTAATTTTTTGGCGCTGTTAAAAATTGTACCACTTATTTAGGGGCCCAGAGGCATCGTGGTCAACCTATTTAAGGCAAAAAATTTTGTGGAATACGTTTTTTATTTTTTCCTACAGATTTAAATTTGCTGATTAAAAAAATAATAATGCCTCTTGTGAGATTTTTGTACGACACACTGTCTTCGGGAAAACCGGGGTTTTCTTAAATTGTGCATCGACCTAAATTCAATTCTGAAAAACAAGCAACCCAACGAGTTTTTTCATATAAGGTCGAATTATCACTTTAGTTCATTTGAGAAGCATTTCAGGATAAAGATCGAAAAAAACGTTTTTTTCTGTATTGACAAAAGAAATCACCTCCTAAAATCTTTCAGCGTCTTGTACGAACATTGTGTATAATTAATAATTTTATTAATTAATTTGTTTTTTGTCATTTGAAAATTTTGCAGAAAAAAACTTGTGGAGCAAAAGATCTTTCAGGAGCAGGTTTTTCAGAACCATCTGTCACGATATACAAAAACACAGAGAACACTACTGTAGAAATTAAAATGTTTTCGTTTTAATTATAATATTATTTCTGCTGGTCTACGTCAGAATTTTTTATAAAATTTTAATGAGGGGTGTAATTTAGATAGGTGTAGTTTTTAGCTATAATTTCGAAATAATTGTTGTGTTTTTTACTCCTTATCATTTTTTACATTCCTTATATGTTTTAGCTATAAGTTATAAAAGAGTCATTGAGAAACTTTCGCACTACAGAGTTTAATCCATTGTTCAACCCAAAACAAGCAACATGTTTCAACTTTCTTTGGTAAAAGCTATAATTGCTATTATTGCAATTACGTCTGTGATGTATATAATTTCTGCTCGTATGTATTCTATTTATTATGCAAATCTATTTTTTATTTTTTGTCGTTTTGTTATCAGACCCCAAGAAACGAACACCGGCACCGGTTTAATTAAAAAAACGTGTCAGCTGTAATGTCTTGAATAAAAATTTTAAACTACGTATGCATTTTCTTCATTCACTTAAAACTACAGCCAACCAAAGCACACAATGTAAAAATTTGCTTTTAACAACTTAACAACTTCAAGAAGTAAGTGTGTCGATTTTTTTTTACAAAGTAGGTGTCTTCTCACTTTTTGACCACAAACAATTCATTGAACGAGTATGTCGCTTTGTCACGTAAAAGTGCCAAGAACTAACTAGTTTTTTAAAACTGTGATGAGTTTATATTCTCAAATGGATTTTGGATAATAGACAAAGAATCGTTGATTGCAACATACTTCTTAAAGTTTTTCGTATCAATTAAAAACAGCTTTCTTGAACGTCGAAATAGAAATAAAAACTTGTGTTGTATAATAAAACAACTTCTATTGGATATCACTGTCTCATCATTTTATAATAAAATGCATAGTACACTGGTTTTAGTTTCTTTTTTCTTTTTTTTTTTCAAAAAATCTCTTTTATTTTTATGTGTTCTTACTGCTATTTTTTTATAATAGTTTTCTCTAGAATTATTGAGCAATTTTGCCCAAAGTTTTTCAAAAGTTCTTCAGTTGCTAACATCTATTCTGATGTTGGCAAAATGGCAAAAAGTAAGTACATATTTAATAAATTTTTTGCAAGAAAAATAATGTTTTGTTCTTCATTGATCGTAAGTCCCATTTTAGCTCTTTTTAGTCGTGCGAAAAAATAGTCTTGGCAGTTCGGTAGTTCTAATTCAGTATACCATTACGTGTGCAACATTCCGTCCGCAATAAACCATCGAATATGTTCTTTTGTGCTCCTAAATAATCTCACCTCTAAATCGAACTTGCGTAAGTACCCGATTTATCCCAATCCAAACAATTTACCTCAAATTTTGATTGACGAAAGCTGAGCAAACCTCGTCTGATAGTTTTTATTTCCCGAGTGATTTATACGACGAAAATAATGACTTTATTAGCGGTGGCCTTTATCTAAACAATGTTAAACGGCATTTTAATGCCATGACAGAGAGCGAAACTCGAAGGAAAAACCTGTACAATGCGGCCAACAGTTGTTAGAGAATTGTTTATTATTTTTGTTGCGATAACGGGTTGATAGGGGGTGATTTATGGCGAATTCATAAATGGGCTCAACACGCGACTCTGACACTGCATCGGACAAATTTGAATAAATTTAAGCATGCAAGGTGAGATAAAATTGTGAAATTAATCAGATTGCGGGCGATTTCTTCGGAAAATGGGTACTTGTGATGTTTTTTTACAAGTGGGATGATGGACGTTTAACCGGATAATTATTATCCGAGTACAGTTTGCTGCACGTTGTACTCTATAATTATTATGTCATTTATCAAAGGTCGGATCGTAAGCCTTGATGAGATTTTTCTAAATTCGTAGTTAGAGCACCGAAACGTTCGAAATCAACGAGAATAACAAAGTGAGTATTTGCATTTTTTTCACCGATAATTTATTATTATTGCTTGTGTTAATTAAATGAGTTTGCATTTTACACGGGATGTTATTTACTGGTGTTTTTTTCTTTGTTTGGTAACAGTTGTACGTCTGCGGAGTTACAAAGACATTCATCAAAACTGATTAATATATGCACTTCCCAGTGATAGCAGTAGCAATCTTTAATATTATTCCGCCCACAGCTTCTCTGCCGTGTTATTTATATCCAGCTTGCGCTATCATTAATACTATTTTATAGCGGGACGAGAATTTCTCAACGACATCTTGGAGAATTTCGCACATTTTACAGTTTTTTCGCATTTTTGTGAATAGTGGAGGAAGAAAACGACTCTCGAAGTTGGATCGAGCAGACTACTATAAAAACCATCTAAGACTCGTTTCGAATTATCATGTGACGTCATAATTTGTCATTTCATGACATTTTTCTTTAAACATTTTATAAATAAAGTAAAAAAAGTAACAATAATCCCATAAGGTTTATTGTCAGGCAACAATTCACCTTGAAATTCACTATCTATTGCGGTAATGCAATTATTATTATACAGGGTGTTCCAGCAAGTTGGTAGGTCCATTATTAACTTTTAAATATTTTGAAAATATTTACAAAATTCATAGATAACTATTAGCCTCCTGCATTAGTTAAAAGTATTTCTAAGTATACAAGGTGTTTGAAGATAAGTTACAATAACAAAATTATGTTTTTTCTGATGAAACTCTTATGTTTTTTTCCATTTTCGGATGTAGTTTTTAATTACACCAAACTTTTATTTATCGATTTTGCTTATTAGTTTTTGAAATATACAGTATGTCCCCGCATTGAGTTTACAAGAGGAAAATAATTTTATCTTTGATTTTTCGCCAAAACTGCAAAGGAAAAATATTTTTGCTTCACCTGAAACGACCAAATCTCTACTTAAAAAGTCATTATTCTGATTCAGTGAAAAGTAACTTTTTCTTCCGATTTTCTCTATTTTTTTAAGTCTCATATTGGCGGTTTTATTTATTTGACAACTATATGTCACGTTGACAATTAATTTATTAATTAAATAATGATAGTTCTTGTTAAAAATGACTTTGGTTTTTATCTTAAAGCTGTTTCTTTGAGTTGCTATTTATTAAAATTATGTTTTTCACAAACATTTTTGTTATTTAACTTCCGTAAACTTATTTGTCAAAGTGCCAGCGTTGTCAAAATAATAAAAGTGACAATGTGATAGGACTTAAAAAGTAGAGAAAAATTATTTGTGCAAAATCAAGAGAAAATGAAATTTTTTTCTACTGAGTCAGAATAATGAAGTTTTAATTACAGATTTGCTCGTTTCAGGTAAAGCAAAAAATGTTTTTCCTTTGCAGTTAAAGATATTTTTTTTCTTTTTGTAAACTCAATCCGGGGACATACTGTATATTTTTTTGAAATACATTTTTTATCTTAAGGTAATTTTAATAATACTAACTGAGTCTCCACTTTTTAAGTTGCCTACATTTTGAATTTCATAAAAATCCGTTGGCAAATAATAGAGATATTAGACCCGAATTTCTTACGTGGGACACCCTGTATAATTTGTTGATGGTGTATTTGTGTGTTGTTTTTGGTTTCCCTGTCCGATATTTTTTTTTTAATTGGAGAACTTCTGTTTTAGTAATTAGAAAGGCAAATAAGAACATGGAAAAAATTGGTTGTCATTTGAAAAAAGATAGAGTACGGTCCTAGAATAACGAAATCGCTTGCTTATTTTAAAATAATTTTGAAAAGTAGGTGAACAAAAAGTATGAAACCAAATCTTTTGCTTAAACAATATATTTTTTGAAAAAACTAATTGATATACTCGTATGATAAAGTACTATAAGAATGTTTCTAAATAAAATTTTGTTTTTCAAAGTTTTTAATTTTTTTAAATGGCAATCTACCATAAAACCTTTTTTTACAAAGACTTTCATTTAAGGATTACAACTATCTACATCTTGTTCAATTTTTATCTTTTTTTATACAAGGTGTTAAAACAGATTGTAAAATATTTCAGGAGGTGTTAGTATGAACCAAAACAAGCAAAAAAGTTTTAATAAACATATCGAGAAATATTCGTTTTTTGAGATATTTATTTGCAGTTTGTTCAACAAAAAAGAGAAGCTTCTAGTAAAGATTATTTATTTATTAAAACTTTTTTGTTTATTTTGATTCACACTATTACCTCCTTAAATATTTTACAATCTTTTTTTAACACTCTGTATAAGTTGCCATTTCGAAACAACATCTCAAAACTCTAAAACAGAACAAAATTTCAGTCTCAAAACACGATCAAATTTTTTTATTGTATTTTAGAACTATAAACTTGTTTCTAAGCACCCATTTTTTGGCTTTCAAGTAAAACTAATAAAATCTAAATTTTGGGAAATGTGTAGTTTGTAGTACACAAAAATCGATTAAAATTTAGATTAATTTTGCTTTCTTTCTTTGTTTGGTGAAAAATGAAGGAAAATTCCCCACTTGCTAATTTCCTTTTGATCTTGTGACGGGTATGGAAATTTCAGTGTATTAAAAATGAATGTAAAGCAGTTTTATCTTTGTGAATGAGTCGATATTTGCGTTGGAAAATAATCAAAGTTGTAGAAAGCTTGCATGCTGCATGATTCATGTCGAGTCGCTTTAAAGAAGCAATCTATATGCATTTTTATAAAGACTGGATGAAAAAGTCATGTCTGATGATGTGAAAATTCATGAAACGCGGCCGTAAAAGTAAACTTTACCTCCACCTGCGCCATTAGCCCTAGTTTATAAGCGGCGCCAACAACACATAATCCGCGTTGCATTCAACTAGCTCATTGTGGTTCCACATGCATGAACCAAACTCCCAAGTTTGTTGCATTCTTGGGATAAATCGGTAAACTTTGGCACCGTTTAACCTTTGCAGTGAAGAATTTCGCTCGCCAGAAGGCCGCCGCAGAAGCGTGAAATTCGCAATTATCCATAAACGCCTTCGAGAATAATATGCGAGAGTATCGGCGACCTTATATAGCAGTTTGAATTTATTAGTCGGGCCCGCGCGTCTGACTCCATGTTTGCATCTAGATGTATGATCTGTTTACCGCGTTCGTCGGCTAATTTAATTAAAATAGAATATCTAAGTGATGCCGCTCCAACGGGATTACATATGCAGATTACATAATTTTGTTCACAAACACGAAATATATGCAATAGAGGCGATGCTCTTTGCGCTCATAAATTTCAAAACCGCTCCTCGACAACGCGTAATCGCTCCTAATTTCTAAAGCTAGACGCTAGACCCGCCAACACAAACTATTTTCAACGGAAATTAAAGCGAATTTAAACGCAATTACTCTTAAAAATGCAAATAGACAGAAAATCCAGCAAATCAACTTAAATAAGGAACATCTTTCTCCCTCTCTTGTTTCCCGTTTCTATTTTTGTCTCTCTTTGTGTTGGGTCATACACAAAAAAAAACGTCAACTAAATTAACAATAAGTTACTGTCAATTGTCAGTGACAGTTACTAACTGACAATTGTCAGTGACAGTTACTAACTGACAAT